AGAGACAGAGTGCAGGTGGGGGAGGGGCAGAGAGCGAGGGAGACACAGAATCCAAAGCAGGCTCCAGGCTCTGAGCTGTCAGCACAGAGCCTGATGCAGGGCTCAAACCCACGAACCGTGAGATCATGACCTGAGCCGAAGTCAAACACTTAACCGACTGAGCCACCCAGGCGCCCCTATAAATGCTGTTTATAAATGTTTTGTTTCACTGTTATATCCCTAGCCTTGCACAATGACTTACAGTAACCCTCCAGTAAATAACTTAAAAAATAAATAAATGAAGCTACAAATCCCCAAAGAGGGACTTTCTACTCAATCCCTGACCAGCACTCCTCACATCTGTCAAGGTCAACAAAAAAAAAGCCCCCCAAAATCTGAGAAACCGTCACAGCTGAGAGGAGCCTGAGACATGACAGTTACAAAGATAGAGGTATCCTGGGTGGGATCCTGAAATAAAGGACATTTGGTAAAAATTGAGGAAACGTGAAAAAACTATAGACTTTAGTTAGGAATAATGTACAGATACTGGTTTTAATTGTAACCAATGTACTCTGCAGACGTACCATGTTAATAACAGAGGAAACTGGATGGGATGGGGGGGGGGTCTAGTAAACGGAAACTCTCTATACTACCTGCTGAGTTTTTCTGTCAATCTGACGCCATTCTGTAACAGAAAGTCCTATCATAAAAAGCAATCTTTAAAATGCCAGACAGTAGTAACAGCTACCGTAAAGGAAAACAGGATAATTAGGCTGCCAAGCTTTCTAACATGTATGCAGAGTATTTAAAAAGAAATACAACAGGGACACCTGGCTGGCTGCCAGCAGAGCGTGAAACTCTTGATCTTGGGGTTGTAAGTTCGAGCACCATGCTGGGTGTAGGGATTACTTAAAAATAAAATCTTAAAAAAAAAAAAAAATACAGGGCGCCTGCATGGCTCAGTCAGTTAAGCATCTGACTTTGGCTCAGGTCATGATATCTTGGTCTGTGAGTTCAAGCCCCGCGTTGGACTCTGTGCTGACTCTTCAGAACCTGGAGCCTCCTTCGGGTTCTGTGTCTCCCTCTCCCTCTGCCCCTCCTGCACTCTGGCTCTGTCTCTCTTTCTCTCTCAAAAATAAATAAACATTAAAAAAATTTAAAAAAAGAAGAAGGGGCGCCTGAGTGGCTCGGTCAGTTAAGCATCTGGCTTCGGCTTAGGTCATGATCTTGCAGTTTGTGGATTCAAGCTCCGCGTTGGGCTCTGTGCTGACAGCTCAAAGCCTGGAGCTTGCTTCAGATTCTGTGTGGGTGTCTCTCTGCCCCTCCCCGCTTGTGCTCCGTCTCCCTCTCTGTTTCAAAAATCAATAAACATTAAAAAGAAAAAAGAAATAGAACAGAAGGGAACCAAGAACACAGCATTATTCAACACACATGTGGACCTCACAAGGGGCATGAAAGAGGCTATGGAAGGTTGGGGGCAGTGGGAACGATCCGTGCCTTGGGGGAGGAGCATTTCATCAGTGACGTTGTTTAGAATCGCCAGTTCCCAATGATGATAAAAAGCAGACCAATTTTTGATCAGTTTTGGTTTTTAATTAAATAGACTGCAGACACTGCACCCTTTACTACACGGGCCTTAGTGGGTCATTCCCGCTGCCCCTTCTCTGCCTTGACCCACTGCTTGGGGTAGGTGGGACTGGCTAGGTGAGGGGTAAAATGGAAACATCAGGAGGCAGGTACCACATGTTTTGCTGAATGGATGTAGGAGAATAAGATGTATTGAGTGTTTGCTCTGTGTTGGGCACTGTAATAAACATGCCATATCCACTCGGTCATCCAACTGCTTGACCGCACTGGGAGACGGACCACAATCATTTGCAGATGAGAATACCAGGGTGTAGGGGGTGAAGGAACGGTCCAAGACCACTCAACCAGTAAGAGGTGGAGACCCTCCACTCTACAACCTGTGCTCTAACCACGGTATTACTCAACCTATCCTTAAACAAAAGAGGGGGGCCACGAACCTAGCAGCATTACTCGTAACAGCCAAAGGACACTTGGAAACAACCCAAGTGTCCATCAAGGGATGGATGAATAAATGATATGTGGTCTATCCATACCATGGAATATTATTCAGCCTGAAAAAAGGAAGGAAATTGCGACACATGCCACAATATTCTGCTGAGTGAAATAAGCCAGACACAAAAAGCCAAATAGTACATAATTCTACTTCCATGAGGTGCCTAAAGTAGTCAAATTCATACAAGCATAAAATAGAGCGGTGGTTGCCAGGGGCTGAGGGAGGGAGAAGCAGGGTGTTGCTTAATGCATAGTCGTGACGGCTCTACAGCAGTGTGAATGAACTTAATGCCACTGAACTGGACACTTTGAAAAATGATTAAAATGGTATATTTTATGTTATGTATAACTTACCACAATTTAAAACTTTTTGCAATGTCTTATTTTTATTTAAGTAATCTCTACACCCAACATGGAGCTCGAACTCACAACCTTAAGATCAAGAGTTGCCCACTCTTCCAACTGAGCCAGCCAGGCGCCCCTACCAAAATTATTGATTTATTTCTAAAAATGTCTTAATTATTTTTTTCTAAGTGTCTATTCATTTTTAAGAGAGAGAGAGCGGGTGATGGAGGATTCAAAGCAGGCTCCATGCTGTTGAATGTGGGGCTGAACCCACAAAGCGTGAGACTATGACCTGAGCCAAAGTTGGGCGCTTAACTGACTGAGCCACCCAGGTGCCCCACAATTTTTTTAAAAGGGGAGGAGAGAATGGGACAAAGCAGTCCCTCCCTAAGGAATGGATTCGGAGGTTCTAGAAAGTACACATAGGGGACCTAATATTTTGCTAGTTAAGCTGCTGCTATTATGCCTGCAACAACACTGGTTCTAGAGTCAGAAGATCTGGGTTCAAGTTCTACAACATCGGACTGTGTGACCTTGAGGAAGCCACAGCTTAGAACAGTGATATCTAATGTTGATTTTATGCCATGAAGCTAGATGTGGTTTTGCTACCATTTCTAGGAGCATTTGTTAAGTGCTTGCTCCAGACTAATCTTCTCTGGGGGATAGGGCCGATCTTGCCCATTTCACAAAAGCAGAAACTTAAGTACAGAGAAGTCAAGTGACTTGCCCAAGGTCACACAGTTGGGAGG